CTTTGCCTTGATGTCAGCTTTGCAAACTCTTGGCACTCTCAACCAGCTTAATGAGGTAGTCACCTGGAATGCATTTCAATTAAAAGTTAATTTGTGGAATTTCTTTCCTTCTTAATGCGTTTGAGCCAATCAGTTGTGTTGTGACAAGGTAGGGGAGGTATACAGAAGATAGCCCTATTTGGTAAAATACCAAGTCCATATTATGGCAAGAACAGCTCAAATAAGCAAAGAGAAATGACAGTCCACCATTACTTTAAAACATGAAGGTCAGTCAATACGGAAAATGTCAAGAACTTTGAACGTTTCTTTAAGTGCAGTCGCAAAAACCATCAAGCGCTATGATGAAACTGGCTCTCATGAGGACCGCCACAGAAATGGAAGACCCAGAGTTACCTCTGTTGCAGAGGATAAGTTCATTAACGTTACAGCCTCAGAAATTGCAGCCCAAATAAATGCTTCACAGAGTTCAAGTAACAGACACATCTCAACATCAACTGTTCGGAGGAGACTGTGTGAATCAGGCCTTCATGGTCGAATTGCTGCAAAGAAACCACTACTTACCGGCCACCAATAAGAAGAAGATACTTGCTTGGGCCAAGAAACATGAGCAATGGACATTAGACCAGTGGAAATGTGTCCGTTGGTCTGGAGTCCAAATTTGAGATTTTTGGTTCCAACCGCCGTGGCTTTGTGAGACGCGGTGTGGGGGAACGGATGATCTCTGCATGTGTATTTCTCACCATAAAGCATGGAGGAGGAGGTGTTATGGTGTGGGGGTGTTTTGCTGGTGACACAGTCTGTGATTAATTTAGAATTCAAGGCACACTTAACCAGCATGGCTACCACAGCATTCTGCAGCGATACGCCATCCCATCTGGTTTGGGCTTAGTGGGACTATCATTTGTTTTTCAACAGGACAATGACCCAACACACCTCCAGGCTGTGTAAGGGCTATTTTACCAAGACGGTAGAGCGATAGAGTGCTGCATCAGATGACCTGGCCTCCACAATCCCCCGACCTCAACCCAATTGAGATGGTTTGGGATGAGTCGGACCGCAGAGTGAAGGAAAAGCAGCCAACAAGTGTTCAGCATATGTGGGAACTCCTTCAAGTCTGTTGGAAAAGCATTCCAGGTGAAGCTGGTTTAGTTCAATAGTTTAGTTTGGTTGAACAGCAATAGATTTATTTGACACAACTCTCCTCACGAAAGAGAAAGTTCCAAATGACGATTAGCTCAGTGTTCGTCACACCCCTTTAGTGAAATGATTACATAGTCCCAATTAAACCATCTCCTCTAGTCTCGACAGTTGTCCATGTTGTAGGCTGCGTTTACACAGGCAGCGCAATTCTGATCTTTTTTTCCCACTAATTGGTCTTTTGACAAAATGTCTTTTTCAGAGCTGATCTGATTAGTCAAAAGACCATTTAGTGAAAAAAATAGAATTGGGCTGCCTGTACAGTATAAACGCAGTCTTAGATATCTAAACTGAAGCGCAGTTTGGCCTAGGGGCCTGCCAATTGTTTCATTATTATTATAATATTATTATTATTATTCATGATTCACAAAATACAAGCATGCTTTTTGGGAGAACTTGATTCATGTAGTTACATTCAATATGACATAGATGCAAATAGAAAACACTATAGGATTGAGTTAATGTCTTATTCCATGTACCCTACAAAAGGAGTATATACAAATGTTGTTGTAGTTGGGGAAAACCCTCTGAGACGTTTGGGATTACGAGCAACACTCATCATTATCAAGGTGGGAAATGCTCTGTCTGTGTATGTCAGTATGACATTATCTATGCAACAGTTGTCTGCATAACTTAGTCTCTCACACGCAGACACAGCCACAGTCACAGGACAGGAAGAGCAGGGTTAAACTGACTAATTTGCTCAGAAAGAGAGGAATTGCATACCCACGTCAGATTGCTGGGAAGTGTGAACCCCAAACAAACCCTTTTAAAACAAAAAGACACCACCTGACAGTAAACTGTGAAAATACACTAACCCAGTCACCCTTGTCTGCTGATATAATTATGTGAGGATGGATTAGATCAAATTCAAGGATATCTGTGACCTATATATATACATACACTACCAGTCAAAAGTTTGGACACACCTACTCATTCAAGGGTTTTTCTTAATTTTTTTACTATTTTTAACATTGTAGAATAATAGTGAAGACATCAAAACTATGAAATAACACATATGGCATCATGTTGTAACCAGAAAAGTGTTAAACAAATCAAAATATATTTGAGATTTGAGATTCTTCAAATAGCCACCCTTTGCCTTGATAACAGCTTTGCACACTCTTGGCATTCTCTCAACCAGCTTCACCTAGAATGCTTTTCCAACAGTCTTGAAGGAGTTCCCACATATACTAAGCACTTGTTGGCTGCTTTTCCTTCACTCTGCCGTCCGACTCATCACAAACCATCTCAATTGGATTGAGGTCGTGGGATTGTGGAGGCCAGGTCATCTGATGCAGCACTCCATCACTCTCCTTCTTGGTAAAATAGCCCTTACACAGCCTGGAGGTGTGTTGGGTCATTGTCCTGTCGAAAAACAAATGATAGTCCCGCTAAGCCCAAACCAGATGGGATGGCGTATCGCTGCGGAATGCTGTGGTAGCCATGCTGGTTAAGAGTGTAAAAAATCACAGACAGTGTCACCAGCAAAGCACCCCCACACCATAACACCTCCTCCTCCATGCTTTACGGTGGGAAATACACATGTGGAGATCATCCGTTCACCCACACTGCGTCTCACAAAGACACGGCGGTTTGAACCAAAAATCTCAAATTTGGACTCCAGACCAAACGACAAGTTTCCACCGGTCTAATGTCCATTGCTCATGTTTCTTGGCCCAAGCAGGTCTCTTCTTCTTATTGGTGTCCTTTAGTAGTGGTTTCTTTGCAGCAATTCGACCATGAAGGCCTGATTCACATAGTCCCCTCTGAACAGTGTATGTTGAGATGTGTCTGTTACTTGAACTCTGTGAAGCATTTATTTGGGTTGCAATTTCTGAGGCTGGTAACTTTAATGAACTTATCCTCTGCAGCAGAGGTAACTCTGGGTCTTCCTTTCCTGTGGCGGTCCTCATGAGAGCCAGTTTCATCATAGCGCTTGATGGTTTTTGCGACTGCACTTGAAAATGTATGCACTCACTAACTGTAAGTCGCTCTGGATAAGAGCGTCTGCTAAATGACTAAAATGTAAAATGTAAGAAACTTTCATAGTTCTTGAAATGTTCCGTAATGACTGACCTTCATGTCTTAAAGTAATGATGGACTGTCATTTCTCTTTGCTTATTTGAGCTGTTCTTGCCATAATATGGACTTGATCTTTTACCAAATAGGGCTATCTTCTGTATACCACCCCTACCTTGTCACAACACAACTGATTGGCTCAAACCCATTAAGAAGGAAAGAAATTCCACAAATTGACTTTTAAGAAGGCACACCTGTTAATTGAAATGCCTTCCAGTTGACTACCTCATGAAGCTGGTTGAGAGAATGCCAAGAGTGTGCAAAGCTGTCATCAAGGCAAAGGGTGGCTATTTGAAGAATCTCAAATATAAAATATATTTTGATTTGTTTAACATATGTGTTATTTCATAGTTTTGATGTCTTCACTATTATTCTATAATGTTAAAAATAGTAAAAATAAAGAAAAACCCTTGAATGAGTAGGTGTGTCCAAACATTTGACTGGTAGTGTATATATATACACACTACCGTTCAAAGGTTTGGGGTCACTTAGAAATGTCCTTGTTTTCGAAAGAAAAGCAATTATTTTGTCCATTAAAATAACATAAAATTGATCAGAAATACAGTGTAGACATTGTTAATGTTGTAAATGATTTTAGTAACTGGAAACGGCTGATTTTTTATGGAATATCTACATAGGCGTACAGAGGCCCATTATCAGCAACCATCAGTCCTGTGTTCCAATGGCACATTGTGTTTGCCAATCCAAGTTTATAATTTTAAAAGGCTAATTGATCATTAGAAAACCCTTTTGCAATTATGTGGTATGGATATATGACCTAAGTAGGTCACAGAAATCCTTGAATTTGATCTAATCCATCCTCACATAATTATATCAGCAGACAAGGGTGACTGGGTTAGTGTATTTTCACAGTTTACTGTTAGGTGGTGTCTTGTTGTTTAAAAAGGGTAGACTACATGTTTGGGGTTCACACTTCAGTTTAACCCTGCTCTTCCTGTCCTGTGACTGTGACTGTGGCTGTGTCTGCGTGTGAGAGACTAAGTCATGCAGACAACTGTTGCATAGATAATGTCAAACTGACATACACAGACAGAGCATTTCCCACCTTGATAATGATGAGTGTGGCTCGTAATCCCAGAAGTCTCAGAGGGTTTTCCCCAACTAAAACAACATTTGTAATGGTTTGTATATACTCCTTTTGTAGGGTACATGGAATAAGACATTAACTCAATCCTACAATGTTTTCTATTTGCATCTATGTCATATTGAATGTAACTACATGAATCAAGTTCTCCCAAAAAGCTTGCTTGTATTTTGTGAATCATTAATAATAATAATAATAATAATAATAATAATAATAATAATAATAATGAAACAATTGGCAGGCCCCTAGGCCAAACTGCGCTTCATTTTAGATATCTAAGGCTGCGTTTATACTGTACAGGCAGCCCGATTCTAATTTTTTAACTAAATGGTCTTTTGACCAATCAGATCAGCTCTAAAAAATATATTTTGTCAAAAGACCAATTAGTGGGGGGAAAAAAAGATCAGAATTTCACTGCCTGTGTAAACGCAGCCTATAACATTGACAAGTGTCGAGGCTAGAGGAGATGGTTTAATTGGGACTGACTATGTAATCATTTCACTAAAGGGGCGTGACAGACACTGAGCTAATCTTCATTTGGAGCTTTCTCTTTCATGAGTAGAGTTGTGTCAAATAAATCTATCGGTGTTCAACCAAACTAAACCATCGATTCAAGGAGGAGTGCTGGTGGTGCTTTTCTGGTTTCGGACACATCAACTGGGAAGTGTACGCCACCTTTGACATCTTGCAAGGTTTGATAAAAGTATGAGCGATATAGGCCTACATTACATGGTAAGTTGTTTCACGCTGTACCGCCGTGACCACATAAACTTGAAACATTGTTGACACACAGCACACGCGCCGGTGTCATTACCTCATCAATGAAATTGTGTAGCCTAACTAGTAATGTTACTTTTGACCTATTCTAAAATTCGAACTATTTTTCTGACTCAATCGACGCGCAATTTGTGTGGCCCGAAAGAATGTCGCGTAAACATGCCAATGGAAATGCCTCATAAAGGTGCGAAATTCTTATGTGGCGCCAGTTGAAGCCGGTGTTTAGTTAGGCTAATGTGCAGTGTTAGCCTAGCGCAAGGGTTCCCAAACTTTTTTGCGTCGGTGATTACTTTTGTGATAACAAATTCATCAGGGACCCCCTCATAATATCAGAACACAAGTCCTACTTTAGAGTGCGATAGAAAAATGCATACAAACAGTTTCTGCAGTGTATGGCCAGACTAATGACGTTTCGGACCCTGGGAAAGAACATTTTAAAATGTTGGCATTAGTGAGAAAATGTTGCAGTTTTAAAACTAATTTCCTGCAATTCTACACACTTTGCCTTGGGCAGAGAGAACATTTAGCAGTTTAAAGCTAAAATAACTGTGTATTTATGTTCAAAACAACATTTTTGGGGAATACAATAAGAGTTTAGTTGTAAAAATATTTATCATTGTGGGCGTACTGTGGATACCAATATCCTTGTGAGCCTCCTTGGCCCATATGTAGGCTATCATTCATAAAACAGCAACCAAACATGATATGATGCAGCATAGCTATTGTCACCTAGCCTCTTTTCTACTCTGGAGTGTGCTTGGGTTTTGTTCAGTAGGTTTGTAGGCTGGTCCATCTTGGACATACTATGCATGTGAATACAGGTTGCTAAATTGGGTGTGCCCATGTATCTTGTGACTCAGCAGAGGTTCCGAAGGGATTAGTGATGAAATTGCATCACAGCGCTCCTGATTTGTCTGTAGTTGAGAAATACCACCCACAAATTCTTGAACCAGATAAAGACCTAAGCTATAGAACATTTTCACCTTATGTTTACACTGGCAACATTATTTTCCAGTGATCTTATTCATTCAGTACATGTTTCTTCTGGGAGATTAAGTTGAACCCATTGGAACAGTTTAAAAATCGTTTTTGTGTAACTGCAGAAATGACAATAGTGGGGACTAATCATTAGGCTTGCTTCACTTATAGTTGAAGTGACAGGGATAAGATCGACAGGGTTTAACACATCTTCCATGTTCACTCTGTTTATCTAAAAGACCCACATTCACAATGTCTAGCAACTGATGTCTCATTTTCTACACATCACATTAAATGGCCTATTAGTAATCAATCATATCTCAATAGTTAAGTGAGAGTGATTTTATGAGCCATCTTCAATATTGGCAGTTGTGGAAATCCCCTTTTATTGCTACCACTCTTCTGGTGTAGCTGACCTTTGTAAGCATTTCACTGTTAGTCGACACCTGTTGTTTACGAAGCATGTGACAAATAACACTTGATTTGTAGTTGTTTTGATAGAGCATCAGTGGTGTGATCAAGAATGCAATTATATTGTTCCTGTTATAATAGCTACAGTACCAGTCAAAAGTTTGGACACACCAACTCATTCAAGGGTTTTTCTTTAGTTTTACTATTTTCTACATTGTAGAATAATAGTGAAGACATCAAAACTATGAAATAACACATATGGAATCATGTAGTAACCCAAAAAAGTATTAAACAAATCAAAATATATTTTATATTTGAGATTCTTCAAAGTAGCCACCCTACGAAGTAGGAGAGTGATGGAGTGCTGCATCAGATGACCTGGCCTCCACAATCACCCGACCTCAACCCAATTGAGATGGTTTGGGATGAGTTGGACCGCAGAGTGAAGGAAAAGCAGCCAACAAGTGCTCAGCATATGTGGGAACTCCTTCAAGACTGTTGGAAAAGCATTCCAGGTTAAGCTGGTTGAGAGAATGCCAAGAGTGTGCAAAGATGTCATCAAGGCAAAGGGTGGCTATTTGAAGAATCTTAAATATAAAATATATTTTGATTTGTTCAACACTTTTTTTGGTTACTACATGATTCCATATGTGTTATTTCATAGTTTTGATGTCTTCACTATTATTCTACAATGTAGAAAATAGTAAACATACCTTTGAATGAGTAGGTTTGTCCAAACTTTTGACTGGTACTGTAAGTGTTGTAAAGTATTTCATTTGAACAAGGAGCTCTGTATGTACAAAGATGAGGAAATTGCTTGACAAACAAGGTTTGGATGATCTCAAAGACATTCTGGGATTATTTTCTTGCCCTTCTCTAGTTAGTCATTAATATGGACCTTTTTGAAGATATTCCCTTGAAGGGGAAGTGATTAATGTCAGGACAATGTCATATTGTGAGGAAAGAAAGACCTAGGTTTATGTACCAAATGGCACGCTATTCCCTACTTTTGACCAGAGCCCTCTAAAGTAGTGCACTATATAGGGAATAGGGTGCCATTTGGGATTCACACCTACCTCTACAATGGTCAGTTCCTCACCAACTTTGGTTACACTTTGCTTAGATGTTATGGGTGTCTAAAGTAAGCAACGGGAACTGGATAACAATGTTTTTCATGTGTGCTTCATCTTTATCTAAGGTTGTCCTCCTAATCTGGGCCCTCAGCCCTACGGTGGCAGATCAGTCTGGTCTAGAGTTGACACGGACAGGAGGCAGAGACCGAAACATGACACAGCGGGACATCTCATGCCGGGAAAACCTGGAGTACCCACATGACAACATCTGCTGTTTAAACTGCCTAGCTGGTGAGCCAAATTGATATTTAAGATTCACAGTCTACTGAGACCAGTGTATGCACTTGAAATGGTACACTACTTTTGACCAGAGCCCAATGGGCCCTGGCCAAAAGAAGTGAACTATATAGTGAATAGGGTGCTATTTGTGATGCAACGAGTGTCACAAGTCGAAATCCATCATGGAAACTACTGGCGCAACTTTGGCCTTGTATTGACTACGGTTATACAACTACAGTAATGAATATTCAGTGTTAAGTGTCTGCTGTATGTACACCTGTTTGGATAGCCCAGTAACTGTTGTTTCTCTATGGCCTCAGGTACATATGTCAAAGCGTACTGCACGCGTACCTTGGAGAGAGGAACATGTGAGGCCTGTGACATTGACACATACACTGAACATGACAACGGACTACGACAGTGCTTAAAGTGCACCGAGTGTCGCTCAGGTAATTCTGTTTAATGAGTTAGCCCTTTTCAAATTCAATATGATCCATTAGAATGAATGACAAATTAAATGGCTGACCTTCAAGGCTCCGATCTATCCCATTTCAGATATTTGTGTCTTTAACATGACAAACTCTGTATTTTCCTCTCACAGATCAGGTGACTATGAAGGCATGCACCATCACTCAGGACAGAGAGTGCCAGTGTAAACCAGGGTTATTCTGTGCCCCTGACGAAGCCTGCGAGGTGTGCAAAAAGTGCTTACGGTATGTCCAGAGAATGTGAGCTTACACGCTGATGCTCTCAAACTAAATCTAGCCTCCATTTTTACTTCATTAGATTGTTGTAAAGACGTTATTGCACAGTGGTGAATAGCCTTCTTTTTTATTTATCAATTACAAAATCAATTAAAACTGGGTTAATATGGCTTGGAATTATATTTTGTTGAAACCCCCATTATCTCAGATGTAAAGAGAATGAGGTGAGGGTGAAGAATTGCACCACTACGTCCAACACGGTCTGTAAGACCAGAATGCCCACATCCAGCACCGTCTCAGGTATAACACCAGGCCCAGGTTCAGCAGACAATACCTTGCTGCATGCTCTGTTGTCTCCTGTTATTACTGTGGATTGGGATTTTGTGTGTTAACACAATAGAATATTATGAATGTTGCATGTATTTGGAAAATGACGTTTTGAATTTCAAGGGGCAATCTGGTCACCTTGCCACTTATTTGGTAAACAGCGGAGGGATGGGGTTGTGACATTAAACATTAATTTCTCTCGATTGAAACAGCCGGTGTTATTGTGATTGTGGTGGCAGTACTGGGTATCACTGCTGCAATTGTCGGTGTCTATTGGAAGAGGCGAAAGTGCTGTAAAAGGAGAGGTAAGGTCATTTTATAACAAATAAATACCTTTGATCATTCAAAAGTGAAGGCTCAGGGTGCCTTCCAAATGGCACCCTATTCCCTATAAGCCCTGGTCAAAAGTAGTGCACTATAAAGGTAATAGGGTGCCAATCAGAGAGCACAGAGCCTCAAAGCTCACTGCGTTAGCAGAGATGCACTTAAAGCTGTCAACAGAACATGTCAATATTGTACCTAAAAGTTAAGGGCCCTCTCTGATTCATACGTCATCTGTTCCAGACTCCCAGAACACTCCCAGTGAGACGCTGAAGATTGTGGTGGTGAGTCAGTCGGTCTCATTCAAAAGTTATTTTCACATTCACCGTGTCAGACGCAATAGGGCTGATCCCAACTTAGGAATTTGTCATTCCTACGCACGCCTTTCCTATGCACTTCTCAGTATTTGGTATTCAGACTTGCCTTATTCAGTCGCATAACACGCTCTGCAGGTGGGGCTACCTTGCGCGTTCTGAATACATCTAATTCAACTGCTGAAAACCCTCCCACTTGCTGGCCTACAGATTTTCTTGTGGAGTTTTCATTCAATGGGGTTTTCAGTACATTCATAAGCCACCCCTTTAAATACGGTGCACCTTTTAATTCGAATTTTGTCGACAGACTCAACAGAATACATAGAGAGAACAGGTTATGAGAGCACGCAATACATGTCATGTTGATATGATTTTCAGTTTGCTTCCATATGGCTGGTTTCATATTCATCTCCAAGGATCATTAAGGGAAAATCATCTAAAACAATTGCTATGTGTATTTAAAATCCCCTTCTCCAAACTGATTACTCATTTACCTAGCTCTTATCAATAGATCTTATCAAGTTGTAAATTACAGTGCATGGAAAATTGTTATTTCTATCTGGAAAAAAATTAAGTAGATGCTTTTTCCACTTGGAACCAGTAGGTTCGCTAGACCTTATTCATGGTTTCCTCACGTGTAAAGGTGGTGGAATTAAGTCAAGGTCAGAATACGGAGTATCTGTAGACACACCTCCGCCACACCTTCATTTATTCGACTCCACCTCAAATGAATAGTGGGTGAATAGCATGCTATTCTGATGCTTAAGTTCAAGGTCAGAATACGCATAGAGAGAAAAGTGCATAAAAAGGCAATTACGTTACATTTACGTGTGCTTAACTCTGGTCGGAGTCTGGGCCAATCAGCACCGCATATCGATTTATTAATTCTGATAAAATTACTCAGATGAGCTGATGGAATTACACCACTTTGTGAAAACATGGCGAACTGCATAAGTGAACAATTGTGCTTCATTAGACTACATATCATTTTTCATACAGTGGGGGGAAAAAAGTATTCAGTCAGCCACCAATTGTGCAAGTTCTCCCACTTAAAAAGATGAGAGAGGCCTGTAATTTTCATCATAGGTACATGTCAACTATGACAGACAAATTGAGAATTTTTTTCTCCAGAAAATCACATTGTAGGATTTTTAATGAATTTATTTGCAAGTTATGGTGGAAAATAAGTATTTGGTCACCTACAAACAAGCAAGATTTCTGGCTCTCACAGACCTGTAACTTCTTCTTTAAGAGGCTCCTCTGTCCTCCACTCGTTACCTGTATTAATGGCACCTGTATGAACTTGTTATCAGTATAAAAGACACCTGTCCACAACCTCAAACAGTCACACTCCAAACTCCACTATGGCCAAGACCAAAGAGCTGTCAAAGGACACCAGAAACAAAATTGTAGACCTGCACCAGTTTGGGAAGACTGAATCAGCAATAGGTAAGCAGCTTGGTTTGAAGAAATCAACTGTGGGAGCAATTATTAGGAAATGGAAGACATACATGACCACTGATAATCTCCCTTGATCTGGGGCTCCACGCAAGATCTCACCCTGTGGGGTCAAAATGATCACAAGAACGGTGAGCAAAAATCCCAGAACCACACGGGGGGACCTAGTGAATGACCTGCAGAGAGCTGGGACCAAAGTAACAAAGCCTTCCATCAGTAACACACTACGCCGCCAGGGACTCAAATCTTGCAGTGCCAGACGTGTCCCCCTGCTTAAGCCAGTACATGTCCAGGCCCGTCTGAAGTTTGCTAGAGTGCATTTGGATGATCCAGAAGAGGATTGGGAGAATGTCATATGGTCAGATGAAACCAAAATATAACTTTTTGGTAAAAACTCAACTCGTCGTGTTTGGAGGACAAAGAATGCTGAGTTGCATCCAAAGAACACCATACCTACTGTGAAGCATGGGGGTGGAAACATCATGCTTTGGGGCTGTTTTTCTGCAAAGGGACCAGGACGACTGATCCGTGTAAAGGAAAGAATGAATGGGGCCATGTATCGTGAGATTTTGAGTGAAAACCTCCTTCCATTGAAGATGAAACGTGGCTGGGTCTTTCAGCATGACAATAATCCCAAACACACCGCCTGGGCAACGAAGGAGTGGCTTCGTAAGAAGCATTTCAAGGTCCTGGAGTGGCCTAGCCAGTCTCCAGATCTCAACCCCATAGAAAATCTTTGGAGGGAGTTGAAAGTCCGTGTTGCCCAGTGACAGCCCCAAAACATCACTGCTCTAGAGGAGATCTGCATGGAGGAATGGGCCAAAATACCAGCAACAGTGTGTGAAAACCTTGTGAAGACCTACAGAAAACATTTGACCTGTGTCATTGCCAACAAAGGGTATATAACAAAGTATTGAGAAACTTTTGTTATTGACCAAATACTTATTTTCCACCATAATTTGCAAATAAATTCATTAAAAATCCTACAATGTGATTTTCTGGAAAGAAAATTCTCATTTTGTCTGTCATAATTGACGTGTACCTATGATAAAAATTACAGGCCTCTCTCATCTTTTTAAGTGGGAGAACTTGCACAATTGGTGGCTGACTAAATACTTTTTTTCCCCACTGTATCTTGTAGGATGATCAAAACAACAGGTCAATTGAGGAGAGGCAGAACAACCGAAGTGCTGTGTCGGATGACACACGGCTCCATCCCTTGCTGGAGGTGACCCAGGCGGTGGGTGCCAAAGCTTCCTCAGCCACTGAGGATGAGGACAATGGACTGGGCGACAGCCTCCACAACACCACCAACTCCTCCCAGTCCAGTTTGTCTGCACTACCCTCAGCCCCCTTCCCCAGATACTCCCCGCTTTCCAGCCCTTCGGTCAAGAGGCAGCCTGACAATGCGGCTAGGGTGAGAGCAGCAGTACAGGGCATGCTCATGCTAACCTAACCCTTTTCTTCCCTCAAGCTCTTTTCTAACCACATCTTCATTGTTTCTTTAGAACTCACATCCTATTCTGGATCTGGTCTTACTTCCTGTTCATCTTTCTTTTCTCTGCTCAATATACAGTGCATTCGGAAAGTATTCAGACCCCTTGACTTTTTCCACATTTTGTTACGTTAGCCTTATTCTAAAATTGAGTACATAATTTTTTCCCCTCATCAATCTACACACAATACCCCGTAATGACAAAGCGAAAACAGGTTTTAAGAAATGTTTGCAAATGTATTACAAATAAAATCATACCTTATTTACATAATAATAATATGCCATTTAACAGACGCTTTTATCCAAAGTGACTTACAGTCATGTGTGCATACATTTTTACGTATGAGTGGTCCCGGGAATCGAACCCACTACCCTGGCGTTACAAGCACCATGCTCTACCAATTGAGCTACAGAGGACCACATCATAAGTATTCAGACCCTTTGCTATGAGACTCGAAATTGAGCTCAGGTGCATCCTGTTTCCATTGATCATCCTTGAGATGTTTCTACAACTTGATTGGAGTCCACCTGTGGTAAATTCAATTGATTGGACGTGATTAGAAAGGCACACACCTGTCTATATAAGGTCCCACAGTTGACAGTGCATGTCAGAGCAAAATCCAAGCCATGAGGTTGAAGGAATTGTCCGTAGTACTCCGAGACAGGATTGTGTCGAGGCACAGATCTGGGGAAGAGTATCAAAACATTTCTGCAGCATTGAAGGTCCACAAGAACACAGTGGCCTCCATCATTCTTAAATGGAAGAAGTTTGGAACCACCAAGACTCTTCCTAGACCTGGCCTCCCGGCCAAACTGAGCAATCTGGGGAGAAGGGCCTTGGTCAGGGAGGTGACCAAGAACCTGATGGTCATTCTGATAGAGCTCCAGAGTTCTTCTGTGGAGTACTCCACCAATCAGGCCTTTTATGGTAGTGGCCAGATGGAAGCCACTCCTCAGTAAAAGGCACATGACAGCCCTGCTTGGAGTTTGGCAAAAGGCACCTAAAGGACTCTGACCATCAGAAACAAGATTCTCTGGTCTGATGAAACCAACATTTGGCCTGAATGCCAAATGTGTCACGTCTGGAGGAAGCCTGGCACCATCCCTACGGTGACGCATGGTGGTGGCAGCATCATGCTGTGGGGATGTTTTTCAGCGGCAGGGACTGGGAGACTAGTCCGGATCGAGGACAAGATGAACGGAGCAAAGTAGAGAGAGAGATCCTTGATGAAAAGCTGCTCCAGAGCACTCAGGACCTCAGACTGGGGTGAAGGTTCACCTTCCAACAGGACAAAGACCCTAAGCACACAGCCAAGACAACGCAGGAGTGGCTTCAGGACAAGTCTCTGAATGTCCTTGAGTGGCCCAGACAAAGCCCGGACTTGAACCTGATCGAACATCTCTGAAGAGACCTGAAAATAGCTGTGCAGCGACGCTCCCCATCCAACCTGACAGAGCTTGAGAGGATCTGCAGAGAAGAATGGGAGGAACTCCCCATATACAGGTGTGCTAAGCTTGTAGCGTCATACCCAAGAAGATGTGTAAAAACTGCCTAGTAAGTCTACATCAAGATGGATGGTGGAAAGGGAGTAGCACTACTTCAAAATGGGACACGGTTCTTTGGGTTCCATTTGCCCGTGAGAGTAATTATGAATTGGGTGAACTAATGCTATATACATCAGACTGTGGCTTTTAGCAAACGGTAAGTACAGTGGGGAAAAAAAGTATTTAGTCAGCCACCAATTGTGCAAGTTTTCCCACTTAAAAAGATGAGGCCTGTAATTTTCATCATAGGTACACGTCAACTATGACAGACAAATTGAGGAAAAATAATCCAGTAAATCACATTTGTAGGATTTTTAATGAATTCATTTGCAAATTATGGTGGAAAATAAGTATTTGGTCACCTACAAACAAGCCAGATTTCTGGCTCTCACAGACCTGTAACTCCTTCTTTAAGAGGCTCCTCTGTCCTCCACTCGTTACCTGTATTAATGGCACCTGTTTGAACTTGTTATCAGTATAAAAGACACCTGTCCACAACCTCAAACAGTCACACTCCAAACTCCATTATGGCCAAGACCAAAGAGCTGTCAAAGGACACCAGAAACAAAATTGTAGACCTGCACCAGGCTGGGAAGACTGAATCTGCAATAGGTAAGCAGCTTGGTTTGAAGAAATCAACTGTGGGAGCAATTATTTGGAAATGGAATCTGGGGCTCCACGCAAGGTCTCACCCCGTGGGGTCAAAATGATCACAAGAACGGTGAGCAAAAATCTCAGAACCACACGGGGGGACCTAGTGAATGACCTGCAGAGAGCTGGGACCAAAGTAACAAAGCCTACCATCAGTAACACACTACGCCGCCAGGGACTCAAATCCTGCAGTGCCAGACGTGTCCCCCTGCTTAAGCCAGTACATGTCCAGGCCCGTCTGAAGTTTGCTAGAGTGCATTTGGATGATCCAGAAGAGGATTGGGAGAATGTTATATGGTCAGATGAAACCAAAATATAACTTTTTGGTAAAAACTCAACTCGTCGTGTTTGGAGGACAAAGAATGCTGAGTTGCATCCAAAGAACACCATACCTACTGTGAAGCATGGGGGTGGAAACATCATGCTTTGGGGCTGTTTTTCTGCAAAGGGACCAGGACGACTGATCCGTGTAAAGGAAAGAATGAATGGGGCCATGTATCGTGAGATTTTGAGTGAAAACCTCCTTCCATCAGCAAGGGCATTGAAGATGAAACGTGGCTGGGTCTTTCAGCATGACAATGATCCCAAACACACCGCCCGGGCAACGAAGGAGTGGCTTCGTAAGAGGAATTTCAAGGTCCTGGAGTGGCCTAGCCAGTCTCCAGATCTCAACCCCATAGAAAATCTTTGGAGGGAGTTGAAAGTCTGTGTTGCCCAGCGACAGCCCCAAAACATCACTGCTCTAGAGGAGATCTGCATGGAGGAATGGGCCAAAATACCAGCAACAGTGTGTGAAAACCTTGTGAAGACTTACAGAAAACGTTTGGCCTGTGTCATTGCCAACAAAGGGTATATAACAAAGTATTGAGAAACTTTTGTTATTGACCAAATACTTATTTTCCACCATAATTTGCAAATAAATTCATAAAAAATCCTACAATGTGATTTTCTGGAGAAAAAAAATCTCATTTTGTCTGTCATAGTTGACGTGTACCTATGATGAAAATGACAGGCCTCTCTCATCTTTTTAAGTGGGAGTACTTGCACAATTGGTGGCTGACTAAATACTTTTTTTCCCCACTGTAACTACAGTGCATTTGGAAAGTATTCAGATTCCTGAGCCTTATTCTAAAATGGATTAAATTGTTTTTTCCCCCCTCATCAATCTACACACAATACCCCATAATGACAAAACAAAAAACAGGTTTTTGGAATTTTTGCAAATGTATATAAAAAAAATTACTTTAATATTTTACATTTTTAGCAGACGCTCTTATCCAGAGCGACTTACAGTTAGTGAGTGCATACATTATTTTTTATTTTTCATACTGGCCCCCCGTGGGAATCGAACCCACAACCCTGGCGTTGCAAACGCCATGCTCTACCAACTGAGCTACATCCCTGCCGGCCATTCCCTCCCCTACCCTGGGCCAATTGTGCGCCGCCCCATGGGTCTCCCGGTCGCTGCCGGCTACGACGGAGCCTGGATTCTAACCAGGATCTCTAGTGGCACAGCTAGCACTGCGATGCAGTGCCTTAGACCACTGCGCCACTCGGGAGGTTAATATCACATTTACATAAATATTCAGACCCTTTATTCAACCTTTGTTGAAGCACCTTTGGCAGCGATTACAGCCACTTGTTTTTGAAGATTTAATTAACCATTGCTAGTGGCCAGGCCCAAGCACATAAATGTGACTTATAGATGCACATGCAGGGTTGAGGAAGGGACGGAATAAGGCCAGAGACAAGAAGCCCAGAGCTGGTGTTGAGGTCCTTCACCTCCTGCACGGCCCTTCAATAGCCAACTTCAGAGCTAGTGCAAGGGCCTCATTTAGGAGCCTGACTTATAATTTATGACTGACCATGTTTCTTTTTTTAAATCTTTCTAGGAAGATGTCCTTCTCAGAAAACTTGCTCCTTTGAATGGTGAGAGTATACCCTCTATATTTTATGGATTTAGACTAGTTAACATACAAACAATATTTAGCCTTGTCTATGACCCACTCTGCTGTTCTCCATATTTTCGTTGATTAAGATTATAATACAGGACAGCACGGTGGGCTTTGATGTCATGGTCTTGACATGCCTTTTTTATTTTAGGTGACGAGTCCTTGAAGAAATGTTTTGAACTTTTTGAAGAGCTGGACGTTTACTACCATAACAGATTCTTCAGGCACATTGGACTCAGTGACAACGCTATAAAAAGCGCTGCACACCTTCATCCTGAAGACCGAGTCTATGAACTGTTGAAAGTATGGTTGGAAAAGGTGGGCATGCAAGCTGACATGAATGACCTAATCAAAGCCTTACTTTATTTGGACCAAAAGTTATCAGCAGAAAATATTATTTCTAAAGCCATTGAAAATGGTTTTTATGAATATGCAGTAAATGAATATGCAGAAAATAAAAAGTGAATGTACACGTTACAGCCTTATTCTAAAATGGATTAAAAAAATTTAAAATCCTCATCAATCTACACACAACCCCATAATGACAAAGCGAAATCAGGTTTTTAGAAATGTTTGCACATTTATTACAAATAAAAAAACTGATACGCAAATAAGGTAAGTATTCAGACCCTTTGCTATGAGACTCAATTGAGCTCAGGTGCATCCTGTTTCCATTGATCATCCTTGAGATGTTTCTACAACTTAATTGGAGTCCACCTGTGGTAAATTCAATTGATTGGACATGATTTTGAAAGGCACACACCTGTCTATATAAGGTCCCACAGTTGACAGTGCATGTCAAAGCAAAAACCTAGCCATGAGGTCGAAGGAATTGTGCGTAGAGCTCCGAGACAGGATTGTGTCGAGGCACAAATCTGGGGAAGGGGTACCAAACCATTTATGCAGCATTGAAGGTCCCCAAGAACAATGTGGCCTCCATCATTCTTAAATCGAAGAAGTTTGGGACCACCAAGACTCTTCCTAGAGCCAGCCACCCGGCCAAACTGAGCAATCGGGGAAGAAGGGCCTTGGTCAGGGAGGTGACCAAAACCCAATGGTCACTCTCACAGTGCTCCAGAGTTCCTCTGTGGAGATGGGAGAACCTTTCAGAAGGACAACGGTCTCTGCAGCACTCCACCAATCAGGCCTTTTATGGTAGAGGGGCCAGGCGGAAGCCACTCCTCAGTAAAAGGCACAAGACAGCCTGCTTGGAGTTTGCCAAATGGCGCCTAAAGGACTCTGGTCTGATGAAACCAAGATTGAACTCTTTGGCCTGAATGGCAAGCGTCACGTCTGGAGGAAGCCTGGCACCATCCCTACGGTGAAGCATGGTGGTGGCAGCATCATGCTGTGGGGATGTTTTTCAGTGGCAGGGACTGGGAGACTAGTCAGGATCGAGGGAAAGATGAACGGAGCAAAGTGCAGAGAGATCCTTGATGAAAACCTGCTCCAGAGTGCTCGGGACCTCAGACTGGGGCGAAGGTTCACCTTCCAACAGGACAACGACCCTAAACACACAGCCAAGACAACGCAGGAGTGGCTTCGGGACAAGTCTCTGAATGTCCTTGAGTGGCCCTGCCAGTCCCCGGACTTGAACCCGGTCTTACATCTCTGGAGAGACCTGAAAATAACTGTGCAGCGACGCTCCCCATCCAACCTGACAGAGCTTGAGAGGATCTGTAGAGAAGAAAGAGAGAAGCTTCCCAAATACAGGTGTGCCAAACTTGTAGCCCCATACCCAAGAAGACTTGAGGCTGTAATCGCTGCCAAAGGTGCTTCAACAAAGTACTGAGGAAAAGCTCTGATCACATGTAAATGTGATATTTCAGTTTTCTATTTTTAATACATTTCCAACAATTTCTAAAACCCAGTTTTTGCTTTGTCATTGTGGGGTATTGTGTGTAGATTGATGAGGGGAAAAAAACAATTTAATCAATTTTAGAATAAGGCTGTAACGTAACAAAATGTGGAATAAGTCCAGGTCTAAATACTTTCTGAATGCACTGTATGTCCCTGCTTCTAGGGAGTTCTGGGGAAAATACCCAAAATACACAGACATGTACAGTAGGAGTCGTAACTGAGCTATATGTGTGTGGTTAAATGATCTACGGTACCTGCTGTGACAGGCCTATTGTCTGGCTGTTGAATAATTCCCTCTGCAGTTTCACACAGTGAACTGGTAGGTTATGGACAGGCTAGCGACTGTAGAGCTCCTGGGTGTTGAGTGAACACTGTCTACTGTAGGAGGAGGGAAGAATATACACTGGATGTAGTTTACTCTGCTTTAGTGCATGTAGTGGTCAGGCCATCATGGATCAGGGCATGGACCATCCTGAATGTAATTTAAACACCAGAGCTGCTTCCTAAATGGCACTGTTTTCCCTTTATAGTGCACTACTTTTGACTAGGGCTCTGGTAATGCACTATATATAAATACGGTGCCATTTCGGATACACCCCAGTGGGTTGTGTCTTGATGATTCAGCAAAGTATGTATAGCATTGTTGTATTTATTTTTTTACAATTTTTTTAAGGACTGGTTAATATGTGTATTTGCCTATAAGATGGTTTTCTTAGATCTAGCGCTACAGGACCAAAATAGATTATCGATGCTGAACATTCTGTACAAACTAGACTTTCTATTTTGTCATGAAATAATGCTGCCTTGGTTTTTCCAAGGTGTCCACCATAGTACTGTCTTCACACACTGATAATAATGCCAAGTTCCTGTTGCTCCTTAAGCAAATGATGTATGTTGAGCAACATTGCTTTATTTGGTTAAATGGACAATGTTTCAGTGTAAGTGTGAGATGGCATTGACATTTTGAAAATGAGCAATGTTGCACAGATCATCTCGTGTGTTCAGAGCAGTTAACTCCACCTAGTGGAAACTATGGAAGTCATTTTGTGTTCTGCAGTTTGATGATGAGCTTCTATCCTCAGCCTTTAGTCCAGTACAGTGTATTTTGTAATGTTGAATGTAGTATTTATCATGGCCTTTTTCAATAATGATGGAATGAGTTAAGTTACTCTCCCAAGACTTTGTTCATTATTTCAAAATACAATTGTTTCTGCATTATGTTCTTGTTATCCCATCTGTTGAAGTGTACAGATCTTGTCAGTATTTCCTTGAGTTGGATCCAAAGTGCAGTTGCCGATGGCAGTGTCCTTTTTTTAATGTATAATTTCACATTATGTATGTAAGTACTTATTATTGTATGTAGATGTTCTTTACAATGTATATTTTTTAAGAACAATGCAAAATAAAGGTTTTTAGATATTTTGTGCCCTTTTCTAAATGTCTCTAGCACCAGATATCACTCAAATTTGACATGTCACAAAGAGTAAGCTTATTGACATCCTAGAGATAAAACATTGATTATTTGGTTGACATGTTCTGTGATGTCATAATTGTGTGTTGTCCAAAATGTCATTCTGATTCAATACATTGTTAGAAGTAAGACCAGGAGGCAGAGAGGAAGGGTCTCTGCTGCACCTGCACTCAGTAGAAGGATGGCAAAGAACACTGGGGCATTTGACCTCAACCGCTGCACTGTTAGGCAGCTCATCCAGCATACTGGCATCCCCTTGGGCAATGCCAGGAGACTAGTGTGCTTCAGGAACCACCAACGGAGGTGGGCTCACAGAATAGAGGCTGAGAGGAAGGCCTTGGCAAGACCATCCCGGAAAGGAAACAGAAATAGGCGTGAAGTGGCTTCTCAGAACAGTACAGCAGGTGGCAGTGGCACACAGCTCCCTACCGATGTGTCTGTAGCTACAGGGACTGACCCTATCCATGGGTCTGTAGCTACAGGGACTGACCCTATCCATGGGTATGTAGCTACAGGATCTGAGCAGGAGGAGAGCACATCATCCTCAAAGAGCAGTAACATCAAAGCTAATCGTGAGGCTGTGGGACTGGGACAAGCCAGCCAAACCACATCTCCAGAGTCCATTACACATGGAGACAACATCGAGGGTGATGAGACACTGGACTTTAGAAACATGGATCTCATCAAACAGAGACATTTGTCTACTGGGGGAGACGGTGTAATCCTAGTCCGCATCAGAACGCCCATTGGAAGAGTACTTGAGGACAAGGGCACAGGGCCCATGCGTGAGGGACACGCTGGATGATGCATTGCTCCCCAACGCAGTGCTCGTCTGAGACTGAAGAGACTCTCTCAGAACTCAAAGCTGGTTGAAACAGAGAGAATCATGATGTCCCTTCATCAGCATTCAAAACCTCTCAATCCGCCCGGGAAACGAAGGAGTGGCTTCATAAGAGGCATTTCAAGGTCCTGGAGTGGCCTAGCCAGTCTCCAGATCTCAACCCCATAGACAATCTTTGTACTCCTGAGTGGCGCAGTGGTCTAAGGCACTGCATCGCAGTGCTAACTGTGCCACTAGAGATCCTGGTTCGAATCCAGGCTCTGTCAGCGCCGGCCGCGACCGGGAAGACTCATGGGCGGCGCACAATTGGCCCAGCGTCGTCCAGGGTAGGGGAGGGAATGGCCGGCAGGGATGTATTCACTAACTGTAAGTCGCTCTGGATAAGAGCGTCTGCTAAATGACTAAAATGTAATGTGTAATGTAAAATGAGTTGAAAGTCTGTGTTGCCCAGCGACAGCCCCAAAACATCACTGCTCTAGAGGAGATCTGCATGGAGGAATGGGCCAAAATACCAGCAACAGTGTGTGAAGACTTACAGAAAACGTTTGACCTGTGTCATTGCCAACAAAGGGTAAATAACAAAGTATTGAGAAACTTTTGTTATTGACCAAATACTTATTTTCCACCATAATTTGCAAATAAATTCATAAAAAATCCTACAATGTGATTTTCTGGAGAAAAAAAATCTCATTTTGTCTGTCATAGTTGACGTGTACCTATGATGAAAATTACAGGCCTCTCTCATCTTTTTAAGTGGGAGAACTTGCACAATTGGTGGCTGACTAAATACTTTTTTTCCCCACTGTAACTACAGTGCATTTGGAAAGTATTCAGATTCCTTGACTTTTTCCACTTTGTTACTTTACAGCCTTATTCTAAAATGGATTAAAATTGTTTTTCCCCCCCTCATCAATCTACACACAATACCCCATAATGACAAAACAAAAACCAGGTTTTTGGAATTTTTGCAAATGTGTATAAAAAAAAAAACTTCAATATTTTACATTTTTAGCAGACGCTCTTATCCAGAGCGACTTACAGTTAGTGAGTGCATACATTATTTTTTATTTTTCATACTGGCCCCCCGTGGGAATCGAACCCACAACCCTGGCGTTGCAAACGCCATGCTCTACCAACTGAGCTACATCCCTGCCGGCCATTCCCTCCCCTACCCTGGGCCAATTGTGCGCCGCCCCATGGGTCTCCCGGTCGCTGCCGGCTACGACGGAGCCTGGATTCTAACCAGGATCTCTAGTGGCACAGCTAGCACTGCGATGCAGTGCCTTAGACCACTGCGCCACTCGGGAGGTTAATATCACATTTACATAAATATTCAGACCCTTTATTCAACCTTTGTTGAAGCACCTTTGGCAGCGATTACAGCCACTTGTTTTTGAAGATTTAATTAACCATTGCTAGTGGCCAGGCCCAAGCACATAAATGTGACTTATAGATGCACATGCAGGGTTGAGGAAGGGACGGAATAAGGCCAGAGACAAGAAGCCCAGAGCTGGTGTTGAGGTCCTTCACCTCCTGCACGGCCCTTCAAGAGCCAACTTCAGAGCTAGTGCAAGGGCCTCATTTAGGAACCTGACTTATGATTTATGACTGACCATGTTTCTTTTTTTAAATCTTTCTAGGAAGATGTCCTTCTCAGAAAACTTGCTCCTTTGAATGGTGAGAGTATACCCTCTATATTTTATGGATTTAGACTAGTTAACATACAAACAATATTTAGCCTTGTCTATGACCCACTCTGCTGTTCTCCATATTTTCGTTGATTAAGATTATAATACAGGACAGCACGGTGGGCTTTGATGTCATGGTCTTGACATGCCTTTTTTATTTTAGGTGACGAGTCCTTGAAGAAATGTTTTGAACTTTTTGAAGAGCTGGACGTTTACTACCATAACAGATTCTTCAGGCACATTGGACTCAGTGACAACACTATAAAAAGCGCTGCACACCTTCATCCTGAAGACCGAGTCTATGAACTGTTGAAAGTATGGTTGGAAAAGGTGGGCATGCAAGCTGACATGAATGACCTAATCAAAGCCTTACTTTATTTGGACCAAAAGTTATCAGCAGAAAATATTATTTCTAAAGCCATTGAAAATGGTTTTTATGAATATGCAGTAAATGAATATGCAGAAAATAAAAAGTGAATGTACACGTTACAGCCTTATTCTAAAATGGATTACATTTTTTAAAATCCTCATCAATCTACACACAACCCCATAATGACAAAGCGAAATCAGATTTTTAGAAATGTTTGCACATTTATTACAAATAAAAAAACAGATACGCAAATAAGGTAAGTATTCAGACCCTTTGCTATGAGACTCAATTGAGCTCAGGTGCATCCTGTTTCCATTGATCATCCTTGAGATGTTTCTACAACTTAATTGGAGTCCACCTGTGGTAAATTCAATTGATTGGACATGATTTTGAAAGGCACACACCTGTCTATATAAGGTCCCACAGTTGACAGTGCATGTCAAAGCAAAAACCTAGCCATGAGGTCGAAGGAATTGTGCGTAGAGCTCCGAGACAGGATTGTGTCGAGGCACAAATCTGGGGAAGGGGTACCAAACCATTTATGCAGCATTGAAGGTCCCCAAGAACAATGTGGCCTCCATCATTCTTAAATCGAAGAAGTTTGGGACCACCAAGACTCTTCCTAGAGCCAGCCACCCGGCCAAACTGAGCAATCGGGGAAGAAGGGCTTTGGTCAGGGAGGTGACCAAAACCCAATGGTCACTCTCACAGCGCTCCAGAGTTCCTCTGTGGAGATGGGAGAACCTTTCAGAAGGACAACGGTCTCTGCAGCACTCCACCAATCAGGCCTTTTATGGTAGAGGGGCCAGGCGGAAGCCACTCCTCAGTAAAAGGCACAAGACAGCCTGCTTGGAGTTTGCCAAATGGCGCCTAAAGGACTCTGGTCTGATGAAACCAAGATTGAACTCTTTGGCCTGAATGGCAAGCGTCACGTCTGGAGGAAGCCTGGCACCATCCCTACGGTGAAGCATGGTGGTGGCAGCATCATGCTGTGGGGATGTTTTTCAGAGGCAGGGACTGGGAGACTAGTCAGGATCGAGGGAAAGATGAACGGAGCAAAGTGCAGAGAGATCCTTGATGAAAACCTGCTCCAGAGTGCTCGGGATCTCAGACTGGGGCGAAGGTTCACCTTCCAACAGGACAACGACCCTAAACACACAGCCAAGACAACGCAGGAGTGGCTTCGGGACAAGTCTCTGAATGTCCTTGAGTGGCCCTGCCAGTCCCCGGACTTGAACCCGGTCTAACATCTCTGGAGAGACCTGAAAATAACTGTACAGCGACGCTCCCCGTCCAACCTGACAGAGCTTGAG